CGTCCAGGATTAAGCCGCGGCACGTAGATCACGACAGCTTCCTAGTTATGATTAATACGCTTCATTATAAAGTAAACTTCGGCGCGTAATCCTCGGGTAATTTGCGCGGGGGGAGACCGCACGACGCGATAACACAGGGGACACAGTAATTAACTCCGTACCAATCATCGTTAAGCGGCACCGATCGCCGCATGTAAGCACCGTCGCGCGAAATCGTGCGCACACGAGAGCTTTCGCGTGTGGGCATCGATGCAATTCACTATCGCCGCTAATAAACGTACCATTATCCAATTTACCGTTTTCTATAATTCACGTGCGCCGGGGCGAGCGAGCGAGCGAGCGCAGTAGGTACACGCTTCGCGAAAGATTGATGATTTGCCTATCTGCGCCGGCGATCTTTATTTACATATAATTAACTCGTGCCTCTTTGAAGTCGAATTAATTATCCACTAAAATGCACGATTAATACGCTCGCCAGCCTCAGCTTTTCTTCCCGTGTAATTTCTCCGCTCTCGTGACAGCTATCTGATGGCATTAGCGGGGCCCGCGATAATTCATACGGCGGCCTCTCCGCGAGATCGCAAATCATTTTTCATCCGGCCGCCATTGGGACGCACGGAATCCACTCTCGCGCATTCATACCAGCGACACAATCGGGGAATATTGCGGACGTTCGGATCTACGTTCCCACACAGACAGCCGCGCACGCAACACGGATCTCTTCTTAAAAACGAATGCGGAAGACGTTTCGCGGCCTGGCGTGTGAGAGAGAGAGAAACAAGGTGTATTTAAAATTTTAGAAAGAAGAGTTCCGTTCCTCGCGGATTACCAGCAAACAGACGTCGATTTTGTACGCGTACGATCGCGTGCACGCAATCGAAGAACACGAATGATGGCCTCCAACACACGTCGCTTCGCGGGCCTCGCCAATAAATCTATGCCGGCTAAGATCGGCTCTTAGATTAAGAGCGCGCGGCTTGGGAGGACACAAAAGACGGAAACTGGTGGGAGTTGTTCGAGAGTTACCTCGTGAAATTTTCGTTCACGCGTCCTCCACCCACCACGTTCTCGTTTGCATTCGTCGGCACCGCACGGGTGCGAAGGTGCTTACTTCGTCGCGGTGAATGCCGGACACCGTTCGTCGAAAAAGGAAGGCGTCGAGAGGAGCCAAGAGAACGACGACGTGGACGACGACGACAAAGAAGAAGTAGACGAAGAAGAAGAAGAGGAAGATAGAGGAGGAGCAGGAGGATAAAGAGAGTAAAAGGAGAAGAAGAAGGAAAAGGGGAAGAGGAGGAGATGAAGGAGATGCTTACCGTAGGACTAAGGAAGACCTCGTTACGTTCCTCTGGTCCAGGCGTGTACGCAACGAGATAACATCGGTCCAATACGCGAAAGAGTACGGCTACCTGCTGGTTAGCGTATCGTCAAGATAGCAAAATGCACTCACAGACAAGCAACGTGAATTAGAAGATTCTCGATCACTTGTAAAGGCAAGATAATACTTCGCATTACGATAAAGTATTCATTATTTTGATCTCCGTTTTCGATATGTTTGATAGACAATAACGTCAAAGATTATGAAATAAATTCGTTTGAATCTGAAACTGCCGAGTAATTCGACTTCGGAGACTTCTTTTTTAACGCCAACTGAATCACTTCGACCACTCATTAATGGATTACAGTCCTTGCTTGAGCCGTGCGACACGATGAAAAATATTTCTGCCTATCATAGACCGGTAAAACATGTAACAGAGTTGACTCGCGTGTTGTAACATGTTGTGTGCGTTATTTTTTACATTTTTCGGGATTAAAATCGGGTTGCTTTATGCGATGTAGTTTTTGCTCTCTATAAGGTCTGCGTAATTAATGCCCGGCGATTTGTCCGCGCGCCGTTATGCGTCGCGGCTTATTAAATCGATTCATGTTACGACGTGCGGCGCCGAGATTAACCGCTCTGGAGCACGAGAAAATATCTAGTACAATGCGAGGCAAATGCTAAAGTCAGGCGAAAATATTCGCAAAACCACGCGATCACAGAAATGTTACCGCCTTTTATCCAATTCTTTTTTACGAGACATTTGCGAAAATTTGAAGCTCGCGTATTCGCTTCGATGATTGACACACTGCGTACACGCGAAACTTGAAATTATATAGTAAAAAATACCACTTTTCTGCTAACTCGACGTACTTCCATGAATGAAACGCTGCCTCGAGGGCACGATAATTAATCACTTTTTGTTCTTCTGCGCTCGCGAATCTCCCACTGGTTCCTCGTGCGAAACATTTTTGCACATCGTTCACAATAAACGCCACCCTCGTCGAGTGTTAACAAACCTTCGTGCAAATCACCGAGTGTGAAATGTACAGTTGTTGCTCGTCGTTGAAGTCACGCCGAATCGTGCCGCCTATGTCGACACGAGTCAGCAGACCGAAAGATAACTCGCGAGCTTGCATTAAGCCCTCTCTCTCTCTCTCTCTTCCCCCGGTCTCTTTCTCTCCTCTGTTTTCTTCGGACCTACCCTTGCCGCTTCTCTCGTTGTCTTTCCTCGTCGACGAGCACGGGCCCGCATCACGTCGAGAGTAAGAGGCGCGATCTCGTAATTATTACGTCGTGAAGGATGGGAAGTGACGCGATGATTACCGCGTTGCCAACCTCCTCGAAGTCCCGAACGCACCATTCTCTCGCCTCGATTTCGTTTTCTTTATTTACCATCGGGTACTCGTGCGCGCTTTACTTCGCGATTTGGTGACAACGACGTTTCGCGACTGTCGTGCCTACTGAAGAGAATTACGAATCGTTTCCCATTGTCGGTGTAACGCGCAACGTGTGCGCGCTCTTCGCGAGAGTAATCAGACGAAGGGGCTTTTAGCCGAGTTGAAAAGCAAAAGACACAACGCGCCGGTAATTAAGGTTTGATTAGCGCGAAGACACTGGCGGCGGCTAACAGCAGGTTTCGTTCGAGGCATCTCAGGTATCCCATGATACGCGCTATTCATAGAAGACATCCGTAGCATCACCGATGGAACTCACGATATTATCTAGCGGCTTTATCGTAATCGGAAACAAAGATTCGAACGATCGAAAGAGATAAGATACAAGGATTGAGTGGTGATCTAATGCAACCCCTCCGACCGCCATCGGCCGGAAATACCTTGCGACTACCTTGCACAAAACGTAAGACACGAGAAGATCGACCTATGGCGAATCATGTAGCGGTGTAAAAGTGCTGTCATAGTCCTGACAGGGTCAATTACCCCTACCATCGACCGCCGCCATTCTCGACGTTAATTGTCGAGCGGTATAACGTAGCCACGACATGCCGGCAGCGCGGGCGCCGCAATAAAAAGAAGAGCAGACGAGTGCGTCCTCCTCCTTGCACGGTAGGATGCGTCCGACCGCCATTTTGGTGGCGGCTCAACAGAGGCGTAATAACTGCGGGAATTCATGGTAATGGTGATAATGCGTGCCCGGCCCGGCGGGGCCCGCGGGGCGGAAGAGAGGGGCCCCGTGAAGAGGCCCACCGGAGAAGTGGGGAGGCCCCGCGTGTCACGACGCGTTGAGAAACTTACGTACGCCTTCGCCGGTGCCTTTCGTGCGTACGTGCGAACACCGATCCCGAAGAGGAGAACCATGGGAGCGGGACCGACGTGTTTCTGATTGGTCGGAGCACGTCGACCGGATGCGGAGGTCGGCCTACGTCGGGGGAAAGCATTCGAATTATCCCTTACAGTTTACACGTTACAGAAAGGGGAGCGTATAGGGAGACCGTTCGCGTCGATACTCCTGGGGCTTTCACGCATCCTCCCGATTTGCTCCTCGTTTCGGAGTCAAATTGACTGAGCAGAAACCTCCTACAAGAATCTCTCTGTTCCTGTACAACCGAGTTTTCGTGTCTGGTGTCCAGATGACGGAAAATTCAGTCACACCAACGGAATTGTCTCTTCCGCGTGCGCGTAACAGGTTGTGAAAATTTCGGTGCCCTTAAAATTCATCCGAGAATGAAGGAGTATCGTCCGTTTCTATGTAGATATTCGCATTAAATTCATTTCGTACCGATAATGAGGTCTGTCACGAACGACAGACGCGGCAAAAAATGCGACACATACGCGCACGTTATGTTCGCATTATTTATCATTACGGTTGATGAACGTGCTTAAGATGATCTCACATCGTGCGTTCTTAATAATGATCTCTCTCGCGATCGCTTTGATGTACATCCTGTGTCTAACCCTTGATTTCGAGCAATTCAAAGAGTAATGAAAATCTTCGCGTAATGCTTCCTGCGCACGACAGGAAGAATGGGAAATAATAATAAAGATCCCGGAATGATCTCGTTGCGAGTCAAGTCGTCGTACATTCATTCCCGGAAATTTTACCGCTGAGATAATCAACGCTATTCGCTCTACACTAAAATATTTCACGCCTCTCTCTTATTCTCTCTCTTCCTAATTCATATCTAATGTATGAAAAGTAATAATAATAGTTCACTTTTTATATTTCACGTCATGAAGGGATAACGTCGATGAAGGGACAAATCCCGACGAATTTGACCTTCGTGTGGATAAGCAGAGACTTCGTCGTATCGTTACAATGGATTTCATTCGAGATGGATTCGTCCGAATCCCGAAGCACGCACTAGACTGGAAAAGCTGTTTGAGGAACAAACACGTTGCAAACAGAGTTGAGTGTGTACACCGGGAATAACCCCGCTTCTGGTGTGGACAGACGCACGGCTCGTACGGAACGGCCACTCGTCGTCGTCATTCGAGAACTTTTAGCTGAAGTGATGACAAGGAAAACCGACAGGGAATAGTAAATGACGAATACGCCCCCACTACTTCACCGACAAAGTAAAAATATTTCTCTCCTTTCGACAGTACTTCTGCTCGTGCCCGATGAAAACCTCTCGAGTGACTCAAAGCGGACTAATTAGAGCCTCCTGACGAAATCGTGGGAATATTTGTCAGATGACTGTATAATGTAACGTAAGACTCACCGAGGGTGCCGTCCAACGAGAACGAATGCCTGTCATTCTTCCATGCCCAGGAACACAGGTCGCAGGTGGTGAGTCCGTCGGTAGCGATGCCATCCTCGGGCACGTAAGGTGGTCTAGGTGGTGGTGGCACAAAGCTCCCGATAACAGCCCACAAGGAATCGACGTCATTGGTGACACTCGTATAATATAGCCAGTCCTCCTCGGCGACACCGGCGAACCAGTCCACGTCATTTACGCTAGGATGGACCGTGTTCGTGCTCGTCGCGGTTGTACTAGTGAGCGTGACCTGAAAATGAGAAAGCAGTCGATCAATATAGATTTATATGTTGACGATTTATATCTTTCCACGTGTCATTAAGGAAACGCGCATTTTCTAAAACAGATTATCGCGTTCATGCACTGTGACGTTCAATTCATCCATTTTCATCGGTGATCATCGGGAAACATTGCCAATTTTGTCCCAAACTAAATCTAATTTCGCAAAAACTATTCGCCACGCACAATCCATGCGCTACTATGACGAACGATCCATATTTTACTAGTCTGTATGTTCCTCGATGCTCTACCAGTTCCAAGTAAACACGGTTAATGGAACCCTCGCGTAGTGTTCCATCGGCAGGGTCGTGAACAAAAATCGGACGCATCCATTCCGTCTCGGTTGGCGCATGTTTCAGGAAATGGCGAGGCAAACAGACATTAAAGATCGAAAGAGCGAGGGACACAGTCCTCGGCTTGAAACAGTGGGGAACGCCGGATGAAGCGGGGCTTTCGCAAAGAGATCTCCCATGTCCTAACTCTTACGACAAACACCGGCAAACGGTGCGGGCGGTAGCAAACAAACGCGTTCTCCCTCTCGTCTCCGAGCTGAGCCGTCTTCGTCTTCTATACACGAGTTTAATGAACAGGGGGACTCGATAAACAGTGACGAGGCGTCCGTACGTTCATCAACCGGTGAGTCACCCGAATCATCTAAGCGCGTCCTTGAAGACGTTGCTCGTAATTGAAGTGGCGCGTAGGAGATAACGATGTCTCCTTCGTACAAGACGGAAAGGGATCTTTCTCAAGGACGTAAACGTGTTGTTCGACACCTCACGACGCGCAAGAGTCCTCTTTCTAAGTTATGTTTCTCCGATACGGGAATTGCTACCGATATCGGATGAGATATTGACAAGCATTACGCGGATGCTTAACCCTTTTAGTGCCGGGCGAAAAAGAGGTGCTTATGCGAAGATAACCGGCCGATTTTACTAGGATTTGGTAAAAGGCTCATAAAAACCAAACGAAAAGCAATATTTAAAAATTATTTATTTTAATTCTCTCGTAATGAAATTAGACTATTTATAACGTATTTTAAATTTATTTTGATAGAGATCTCTCGCAATGCGAATAGTAAAGCGCTACAAGGTGCGAGCCGATATATCGGCTCTGGCACTTCTCGCCGGTGTAGCAGGAGCCGATATATCGGCTCCCGGCACTAAAAGGGTTAAAATACTATCTGTAAAGAAGTGAAATCGCTGTTAGATCCATCGGAGACGCCATTGAGCGACGCTCGATATTCGTGTTCGGCCATCGCGCCCCAGAGGGTTAAGGAGATTGAGAGGCGCAGAAACAATACCGCGCGTTCCTCTCCATCGAATTCCATCAACCTCGGATCTGGTCGAGCGATCGAACGAAATAACCTCTCCGGCGATCCGTCCGAGCGCGCGGTGGTTCTTCGCGCTCGACGCTCCGGTAGGGAGGCTCGACGGTCGCTCACGTATCATCGACGGGATCGAGAGTCACTGTGTTTATTCTCCTCCTCGTTCTTTGTCGTGGTTTTTCCACGGCGGCGAGGTGATCGCGGTGGAGATTCGACTGCAGGTACGCGATGCGCGTCCTTGTTCCTCCCCCTCCCGGAGAAGATGGGCTGCTGCTTTTGTGCCGCGCGGAGGAGACTCGGCCGGGATTATGGATAGGACCCGAGAGAAGCGACGAGGCCCTCCCGCTCGGCGCACAATGGCACGCATTGATCGGCTTAATTACCGTGATATCGGCGTAATTAAAGCCCCGTTGTGTTGGGACCCTTTCTACGAAGGCGTCGAAGAAACCCGTGACTTGACTCCCGGCGTCAGGATTCTCTTATTCCCCCTTGGCCCCGTTGCCTCTCCCCCGCGAGTCCTCCGTACGATTCTCGTCAAGGCCCCTCTGTCACTTCGCCGCGTTCCTCAGCAACGCTTTGTTAATAAGCCATTATACGGCCGGTGACGCACGTTCGACGAGAAGCGCGTTCGGTCGCGGGAAGCTTTTAAGAAATACGCGATTACGACCGTGGAGAAATTACAAAGGCAATTTCAAGCGGCGTGCACAGGGACGTCCGGCTGGAGACAATTTTCCAGATATTTTCCAGTCTGTTATAGTGCGATTTGTTACGGGTGGGAGAAAATGATCGTGCGATAGTAAACGTCGCTCGAAGAGGTTTTCTTTTTTTTTTTTATCTGTCCGCTTATAACCCCGACAGATACATGCAGTTTTCTAGACACATTTCGTGAGCTGCAGGCTTGCTTATTAATAAGTTGAATAACTTTTTTATCCATTTGTTCTCAGGACACATTTTCAATGTAAAACAATCACATACAAAGGAAGAAGTAATATTTGAGATATCGTTGCTGTTTCCTCGAGTAATCGACATTCCTGATGCGCTAATACGTTGATGCGATACGATTACGATTGAATATTTCTAGCGATCGTATAACTAGCAAGTCACCAGGGTTATAATGTACAATAGGCGCGAGTTGAACAGCCGCGCATCGCCAGTAGCCGCCATATGCAATTAACGGTCGATAGCTCTTGGCGCATTCGCGGCGACAGAAATTTATCGTGTAATACCACATTATATTCAGGCGCGTCCGTGACATTCGGATTCGGGATCAAGATCATCGTCCTTCTCACAGAGATAGAACGCCGAGGGAAGTGTTCTCTTCGAAATAGCCGTCAAGGATCGCAGACAGCCTCAAAATTTGCGACCCGTTTCTAGAGAGGTTAGTGACCGCTCACATTCTTATTCACGAGATGTAATAATATTTACGTTTACGACGGATCGGCTCGTTACAACGATACAGCAATACTTCTTCCATGGCATAGTTGCGTAATCATTCGCGCCCGTATTAGCCAATTAAACGTTTATAAAAACGGGAACCGTTCGATTGATTTGTGACTGGTCGCTATCGGTTTAACAAGACCCAATCTGAAGTGCTAGCAGCTATTCGAAGCTATTTTACTTTCTGATCTCATCAGCGAGTCTCGTTATATTCGAAGAAAACGTCTCGTTATAATTACGAAGCGTTGGCGTTTACGAGCGAAAGGGATGAGAAGTATCTCGTACCTGTTAACCTTAACATCCTCTTCGGCGGTGTTGTCGTTCCTGAACGAGCCGACGTACGTGCAAGACAATAGTCGTTATAAGATTCGTTAACTCAGAGGGCAATTCTGCATCGGCTTTGTGTTTTAATCTAGAATTTGCGCGTCATGTTCTACACATAAATCATCTCTCTCGCTCGATACGTATATTCACTGAATGTTCAAATTATTTCTATTCGATCGATGAAATTATCGCTCGACAATGTTTTCGAGTATTACGTTGTCAAACCAGGTTTTACAACGTCGAGAAAATGAGGAGAAGTTGTGTCAACAAATATGTGTAATTTATGTCTTAATTTGACGCAATTAATACACTATTGACTGTCTACTTTAAACATCAACTAATGCTGCTACTTTTCATAAATCAATGTGAATTAATACATCGGTAACTATTTTTAACATTGTCCAACTTTTGTTCTCGGCTGTTCTTCTTATTTATAAACCATAGTCAAAATGATAACTCGTGGACCAGCCGAGAACGTTCTACCAAAAAACAAGTTTTCGATCGGTCGACAATATATCAAGTGGTCTGTTTTTTTTTTAACTGAACTGGCTACACTAGTTCAAGAATTTTACAAACACATTGAAGCGTACAAACGTACGTACGAAATTCTCGCGCTTCAATATGCGTAAATTTCTTGAACTGGTGCAGCCAGTTCAGCTAAAAAGAACAGACCAAATAGAGCGTTAAAATATTCGTAGACACGTTCACGATGAAACGTAACTTTCGCATGATTCGAATAGGGACGTATTCGTAACATCATTATGGAAGATGACGAGGAATGTCGCGTGAAGTTATTACGCGAACTCAAAAGGGCCGACGATTCAAATTATAGGTTTTCCCCCGAATTTCCATATCGAAGTGGATCTAAAATTCTTCCGATGCTCCGATTCACGCCGTCCTCCATACGCACGTCCCTTTCACATCCGCCGATGTCAGCATTCCTCGTCCCTCATCGGTCCACCTCGAATATATCTTAGAGCTCGGAAATCGCAGCGCGGAATTCGCGCCCGGTCTCTATTCAGCTGCCGCCTTTCGGCGTGTTTCGTCGAACCGCATTTGCAATTCTGACATATTTGGCGGTGAGGTGAGGTATAACGCGACTCACGCTATTCGCAGGCGGATCTCTGCCCCCGTCGGGGCAGAGTGAAAAAGACAAAAGGGTGAGAGAGCGAGCTGTGTTGCGCGGGAACGTTGGAATACCCAAACGATTCCCGGAAAGATCGGCCCATCTCGTGTCTCGCCTCTTTCACCCGCGATCTGGCTCTCTTCCTTCGTCTCCGTCGTCGTCGACAACAACGTCGTGTCGCCGCGATCCTCGTGGCCCCGTGAGTTTTCGGCGCTTCTTGAGAGGAAAGAGGAACGCGCGTCCTGTCGTTCTCCTTCTGCTCTCTGTTTCTCTCCCTTTCTCCCCCGCCAAGTTTGAGGGATCGTTAAGGATGGGGTTCGAGGGCCAGGGCCGTATATAACGGATAATTGACAGCCACGCCGGGGCCGTCGTTTGCTTTGCATGGACATTGAATCCGCGCGGCAACGGATGGACGTACGGTCGAGAGGAGACGAAAGACGGCGCGACGTGAGGCCACGAAATTCGACCGACCAGCCGTACGAACGTACGAAACTGCGAGAGGAGAGCGTGAGACGTGACATGCGGTCGGGAGGAGGCGAACGGGCAAGTGCATGCTGCTCGTTTGACGCACTCGTAAATTCTTCAATTTCGATCTTCGGAAATGCACAGACGCGATATGACGCTCTTCCCCGCGAGAGCCTCCTCGAGGAGGCTTAATTGCAAACGTGCCATTAAACCGCGTATCTCGTTAAACTTTGTAGGCAGAAATACAAGAATATTTGAGATTCGAGAAATTCAAGTTTAACGCGGAATTGTTTTT